CTTGTGCGCTGCCACAGGGTTTTTGACATTGTTTGAACATGCTACTTCGAAAGTTTTCCAAGGTTGCCGACGCATACTTTCCGCCTGACGCAGGCCTCCGCGTTACATTCCTGCGACGGGCAAAAGCTGAGTGTATCTGCGATGAAGCCGCAGGCGCGGAACGCGCAGAGTGCCACCTCGTCTTGGGCTCTTGCCTTTGGATGCAAGGCCCCGGGCTCAGCAAGCAGGAAGTTCCAGTCGGAACTTACGGCCGACAGTTCTGAGGCCTTTTCGCGGAAGCCGCGCAACACTTCTCCGGCAAAGACTCGGAGCAGTTGCAATTTGCTAGATGCTCAGCCGCTCAGTTCGTGAGAAGAAGATGCTTGCACATGATTGGTTGAGAGGCGGCAGCACGGACATTTTTCGAGCTCGGAGACTTCAACCAGGCATCCGCGTTTTCGCACTTGGCTTGACTCAGGAGCCGCATCAAAGAACAGTCGAAATGTTTTGTGTCGTGAGGGTAAGGTAGGGTCCGATGAATGCGTTTCTGTTTAGTTCCATCATCTCCACAACTTCATGCGTGGCGAGGCTTCAGCTTTGGCACGTGGTCTCAAGTCCTCGGCGTCTCTGCGGACTTACGGGCAGCTGGTCCAGGGGGCAATTCAGGTTGCCACCGGGGACGGAGAGGCGCTGGTTCAGGATGCTTCAAGCGGGTATCTCTGGGGGATGGACAACCGCTCTGCTTCCTGCCAGGCTGTGAGCACGGATGACCTGTCGTTGGAAGCCAAGTGTATCGCCAAGCTCAACGAGCTGGTGGGTGAGGCACTACGTGAAGGCCGGAGAGTTGTAGAGGCTAAGTGGATCAGGGATGTCTCATGGCTGCAGGAGCTGGTGCTCCTCCGACTGCTGCCAAGCTGAAGGGCTCGCCTCTGGCTCAGCTCGTGGGTCTGGAGGAGGGTGATCTAGAGATCTCTGTTGAAGCCCGCCTGGTGTTGCGCTGCACTCTGGGTGAGCTGGCCGTGCATGGAGGCAGGAGTGGCTTGTGCTTGTATTGCTAAGCGCGAGTGCCGGGACTCAGAGGAGGGTATCAGAGGGATGTGATGGTGAAGTTGAGAGGTGTGGACGAACCGTGGGTTCGGCAAGCTCTGGTCACTTGATGGCACATAGGGCCAGACCATGTCCACAAGGCTTTCAGTGTCTTGACATGCTAACGTCACCAAGTTTCACACCAAAAGCACATGATAAAGGTCTCTGCCTTGTCAGACTTCGACGGCCTGCAGCCACGCGATCCAACGCTGCGGCCTTTCGTCACATGGCGTTATGCCGAAGGGCTGGAGTTGTTCTGGCACGGACGTTCTATCGTCTCCTTTTTCCGAGATGTCCGAGTTCAGACACACCTCAAGCGCTACTCCTCGCTATTCGCCGGTGAAGCTAGCAGAGAGCTCTGAGCGCTCACAGAGAAGACTGCCACTGTGCGCAACCTTCTATCTACAGGTAGAATCGGCTGTTGCTTTGAGTGTTGTCCAAGGTCTTTCGAGCCTTGGCAGCTCTCGCAGGCGTGACCAACCAGAATGGCGATGCCATCACGGCAGAAGGCCGGCATCCTTGTTGCTCTCCCTTGGCTTCTTCGCTCTGCGGGCCCAGGGCTCTATCGCACAGCTCTGGACCATGTGGAGAAATACAAGACTTCCGGCCAGCGTGCAGAGACCTGGAGATCCTGGGTTTCGGAGGGCTTCGCGAAGATGCTTGCCGAAGGCACCGCGTGGCCACGTGAGGGTGCACTCTTTGCAAATCAGCATTGATGCGTTCCTGAGATGTCAGGCCGTCATGCTGAGCAACGCAGAGCCGAGATCCAAGCGCTCCAGGCCTTCCATGGCCTTCCTGCGTTTCTGAGAGGTTTAGGTTTTAGGCGCCCTGCAGACGACTTGGCATCTGCCTCAGGCAGAGGTGAAGCATTCCTCAACCTCAGCGCGACGCTGGGCGCTCTTGTGGCTGCCACCTCCGCTGGCACGCGCGGAGCCAGGCGCGACTCGGTGGTCGAGAGTTGCACCGCAACCATGCGCTGCCTCCGACAGCGACTCCTCACGTCCAGGCATCGAGTGACACCGGCGGCCTCAGTCTGATGGCTGCCAGCGGCCATTCAAGTGAAGCCCAAGGTAGCCCAAGCCTTCCTACGCTGTGCGCTTTGGGGTCTTCTCTCACGTTCTCTCAGAATGCCCGCGCAAAGCCGCAGAGATCGCGGGAAAAGTCAAGAAAGACATTGCATTGCTGCATTGTGCAGCCACCGACAAAGGACTATGGCACAACTGCTGTGCTGGCTGTGTGTTCAGCTCAGCTCAGGAGGGGAGCCATGTCGTGAAGAACCTTCACCGAGATTGGATGGACACTCGCCTCGTGGACACTTGCATCGCTGGCTGCGTTGGCCGAAAACGCACCTGAAGCCGCACGTTGAGCTGACCATTGTGACTAGCAGAAGTAAGCTGGATTGCTGTTTGCAGATGTGCGTCGCACAATGTATTCCCATGCAGCCAAGGAATCATACTGCTGCCCGGCTTGTCTTGGTGCGTCGTGGGCAACGAGTATTTTTATTTTTTGCTCTTGAGCCAAAGCTTGGTTTTCTGCTGACTGGAGGCTTGCGCCGGACGAGGTGACGCCCCGAGCGGGCGACAGCTCACGGCCAGCACTGGACTCGGGTTGGCTGCAACCGCTGAGGTGCCGCATCGGGCTTCCCTTTGCATTGAAGTTACGATGAGTTCAGGAGCTTCCGGGTGACAAATGGTTGCAACCTTAGTGGCTGCGAGTGCTCAGGTTGGAGCTTGCAGCTCGCAGGTACTCATGCGACGCAGCCAGAATTGACAAAACCGCCTCGGTAGAAAAATATCGTTTCATCGGAGGACCTTGTGGGAATTTCGAATTGTAGTTTGGTTTGTAATTCTGAACCATCTGGGCTTTAAGCAAACATCAACATATCAGCCTCTCATTAGCATGTGTTGCCATCTCAGCCTCGCAGGCAGATGGGGAACGAAGAAGCATGGCAAGCAATGGAGGACTTAAAGTGTCTGGGTGCAGCAATCGCTCATACCGAATTTCCAGAATTTATCTTGCTACAGTTTTGCGGGACAGGAGCATGCCCGGAGACCCGACGTCTCCGGCGGAGTGATGGACATAACTCCGGGCATGTGTGCACCTCAGGTGTGAGGGTGCTGTTAAACAAGGTAGGTGGCTGACTAGCCGCCCTTGTATTTTGGCACGCTGCGAAACCCGGAAGCGATGCAGTTTACAGCACACTCTCGGCCTTTAACCACAGAAAACACCTATGCCTAAAATATGCACTGCCAAGATGAACATGTATCATTCTTCGGGCATGGATGATTCCCACAGTATGCACCCGGGAACATGGATGTTATCATCCTTCGGGCATGAATTCTCTCCCAAGCTTTGCGGAGGCAAAAATGGACGTTCCCATCCTTCGCGCAAGGATGCTAGGTCCTTCCGTCTACAAACAGGGACAGCCAGCATCAAAAATAGCAGCAGCCTAGGTAAAACGCAGCAAAGCGGCAGTTCCTGCAAACCATTTTCGGACAAACACGTGCAAAACAAATTTGTGTTCTGGACCCGCAACATGCCCAACAAGCTTTTGCGAGCACAACGAATAGAAAGAGTAAAAGTTCTGTACCAAGTAACAATAATACGCCCACACAAGAAGCGAACACGAAAACATTCACAATTCGAGGAAAGGCCTCAGTGAAGAGCAAACCTCACAAGCAGCAAGAGAGTGAAACCACACTGAACGAGAAACAATGGGTCAAGGTGGCAGGTCCTCCACCTCGCTTGAACAATCTTAAACAACCACGTGCTGTTGGTCAGTCTGCGTTTCTCCTTGCCGCGAGTTATGCCATGCTGCGAAAGACTTCAGTGCTCTGCCATGCAGGTTTATCTTCATCCCGCATGGCTGGTGGCATGCTCTGCGGCCGCTAGACGACGTGACTGTCATATCTGGGCCATCGAAGCTTTCTCATCATTACCACACCGAGGAGGCCACAGTGGGATGTTCTTACATGATGCGATGCTTGTACCAGTGATGTCGGGCCCGACGAAGGTCGGTCTTGACTTGGCAGACGCGGAGGAGCTGCGCCAGATTGTGTGCAGCTGGGACACGGGGAAAGGTGTCTTTGGAATGCGGCATGCTGACATGTAGTTCTCTGCCAAGGCAGCTTGCCAGCCGAGCAACTCGAGCTCTTGCAGGTGGGTTGCAGCGACCCCTGCAGACGGCGCGTTTGATCTCCGCGAGGCCGAGCTCGGAGAGGAATACACGAAGTTCCTGCGCTCTGGCACATCGGAGCTTCTACAGTCGCTGCCGATGCAGGACTCCTTGCCACGTGCTTATTCACCAGAAGCGTATGTCAACCACCGGCTTCATGGCCAGACGAGGAGCAGCATTTCGTGCTCGATGCCCTGAACAAGGCGGGCAGTGATGAGGTTTTTTGGGGCTGTAGCTTTCTTGCGGCCCGTCTCGGATGCCGGACGCTGTGTCATGCTGTGCAGTGCCAGGCGGCAGGATAGCCACTTCACCGGCCGGACGCGTCTCACGCCAGTTTGCGTGAAAGTCGCTAACTTGCTGGAGTTCAGAGCCTGCTGTGCTCTCATGGAAACCGCATCTCCGGGAAAAAGGGGCGTCACCAAGCATTGCCGCAAATATTGCTGGCACTCGTGGATGGATGCCCTTACAATCGTGATGCACGTCGTAATCGTCCAAGTTATTCCAACTCTCCAGCAGCAGGTCTTGAACTTCGGCAGTGGAGAAGTTGCATGTTCCTCTGTAAACCTGCAAGCCGGTTACCAAAAGGAAAGCCCGGAACAATCAGCAAGCCTCAAAGAACCAGCCAAGGCTGCAAACTCAGCAGCAGCTGATGTCAGTTCTTGCTGGGCGGGCAGGCAGCATCACTTCAGATCTTGCACGTCGCATCATGTCGCGTCTCACTTCAATTACCTGCGCAGGTCCTGAGATAGGGCATGCGCAGTTCGGCGAGTTCCTTTCTCAGACGCAAGGAGGGCGGAGTCTCTGAGATGACCGGACCCGGGGACCTGAGGCCTCCAAATCCTCAATGTGACCCCCCTCAGCTGATGCAGAGGCACTGCTCTGCACCAGCTCGCATGCACAAGCTCGCACAAGCGGTGCCCGCCTTTTCTTGGCCCATGGCTCGAGCCATGTCAGGCAGCTCCTCACCGCAGCCCTGGAAGTACTGGCGGCTCGTAGTTCAGGTGGGGAGCGGGGCACCGGGGGGCATGTCTGGGCCGTCGTGGGACGGGATATGTCGGGATGCTTTGCAGAGAGGTGCCGGCTCCTCCGTGGACACCCCTCGCACGCTGCGGAGCTGCAGCTTGGGGGCTTTGCCGGGTTTCCAAGCTTTGAAGTTCAGGTTTTTGGCTTTGACAAAGGCTGGATGAGATGATGAGCTGTGGGCCGAGCAGGAGCAGCTTCAGTAACTTGGAAGCAGCGTCTCAGAGTGGAGAGAACCTGAAGGGGTTGCTCGGATTTCAGAGAGCTTTGCATGGCTTGCTACGTCAAGGCCTGGGATCCGATGTGACAGCTTCCCCTGTACGTGAGCGCTGGGCCGGCTAGGTGCACACGGGGGTAATGGTATCATCGCCAGAGACTTGATACGCTTTGCGACGGGGGATAGACGTCTCCAGATGTCGTTGGGATGCATTTGTGACGGTTGACTGCAGCTGCACGTTGAAGCACGGTGCTTTACAGGCACCTGACTTGGACACCTCTGCGTCACTAGGTTCCCAGAACGTGGACTACACTTCCAGAACTGCGATTGTTACTGGCCAGGCATCGCGATGGGCTCCCAAGAGTTTCGTGCATCGTTCGACACCGAGTGTGAGCAATGCGACATGCAACTAATGCTTTCCGCGATTTTCCAGGAGACCTTTGAGCTGCTCGTATCGAACATTGTGTAACATAGAACAAACTATCAGCTCGGTCACCTGTTTCCGTACCGGCCTCCGGCCAGCTCGGTTGGGGGAGCGACCCCCTTCTCAGCAATCGACTTGTCCGTCCCAGCTCTGGTTTCGAACATTGCTTCGAACATTTCACACCGCGTGTGCAGGGTGATCGATGTGAAGTTGGCATGAAGCCGATATGGTCTAGAGTTAGCATCGGAGGCATTGCACACCTTGCAGGCCCCGGACATTTTTTGGTGGAAGAGTCTGGGAACTCTTGACCACCTGGGAGCAGTCGAGCATGCTCGTAGCATGCTCGTTTTGCGGATGTCCCAGATGGGTGCTGAATGTTTCTTCTCTACGTATACAGCAGATCATCTTGGGCACTGAGTGGGTAAATCAGGTTCTAACATCCAAACTCAATAGTTTGGTGGTAACACACTGCAAGAGAGTACAATGCTGCGCAACCTGCAGCAAAAACTTGAAGTGTGTCGTCCATGTTTGTGCTGCCGTGAGAGCTTGTACTATCGTGTTTACCTCTGCAGTTTTTGGGCCAGCACACTTCACGGCAAAGTAGCTTCGTGCCAATGGCCAGGTATAAAGAGCTACTACGGGCAACCCCGCCGTCACCTGGGGACAAGTGCACAGACATCCCCGGGACGTCAGGACGAGCGGGGTTCCACCGCGATAGCCACTGGGCACTGGACATAGAGGGCTGAGGCGAACTCGTCCTTCAGCTTTGTGGCAGCCGTACGAACGCTACGGCCTGCCCAGACAATCCCAGACTTTATGACCAACAGTCCGGTACTGAAGACGGGCCGTGCCCTGTTTGAAGACTGGCCAACAAGCCTTCAGGGTAAAGTGCCCATACAACATGTCTCATGGTTCTTCATTCGGAGTAAAGGGGAAACGTTGGATGTCAAGAAGGCAAGAATTCCGAACGCGAAGCTTCAGGTAGACCATCAGGGCTTGGCATCAGCAAGCAGAAAAAGATCTCCTGCCAATTCGTCGTAAAGTCATCGCTCGTGCTTTACAAGCACTCCCCCAACGGAACTGAGTGTCGCAGGTGTCGACCCTCAGTGCCTCGGATCTGCCAGGCGGCTGCAAGATCGGAGTGGTCAAGGACAGCCGGAATGCATGCAGCCAGCAGCCCTGTATCATCCTGTGTCCGTGGGAGGAAGAGTGATGCTTCCTGGCCCGCAAGGCTGCCTGAAAGCATGGTGTTGAACTCCCACGCATGCCAATGCTGTCCAGTCGGGCTGCACTTGCGGCTGCCATTACATTGATGTGCATGAGGTGCTGCTTCTCGCATCTTGCTTCCTCGTGTCGCGTTGCAGCCTCATGAGGACTGAGGGGGTGAAACCTGCTGATGGCATGCTGGCTGCTCTCTAGCTTCGAGCTATTACGAGCTCTAGCTGTCATCCCACTGCATCAGGAGCAGAAAACTGGCCTCTGCTGTCACCTTCCTGACCTTGCTGTCAGCTGTACTGGACAGTCAAAGCGCCACTCCGTGGGCTTGGAGGGCCCTGGGCGCTCGAGTTGCAAAGCATCTGCTGCATCTGATCTCCATACCTGGCAGTTACGACAAAACAAACACATCCCAAAGCAGCAGTTATCTGGGGGGAAGTCTAGGACGGAGAAACCGTGTTTTCTAACAGACTTGCCCCAAGTCTGCCATTCGACACAGATTTGAGAAAAAGACCCAGTTGCTGCTGTTGTTGCATGGGTGCAGCCAGCTGACAAGCTTTGAAGACCCGGAATATGTAACACTTGAGCCGACGCAGTAGAATCATTGCGCAAGACTGGGGTCAGTCCGGAGTGGTGCTGGTTCTACTTTCCTCCATCCTTCGCGTTGTATGGCTTTGCATCGTATGTGATGAGCTCGACGAGAGTCGTGAAGTGCAGGGGTTCATTGCTACAAGGGTTTTGCGTCCGGGTGAGGTCTGGTGCACATGAAAGGAACGAGCATGCATGCATAGCTCCACAAGTTGCCACGAGTGTACCATGGATGCGTGCTGCAATGTGTGCTGCAGTGTGTGAAGCTGCTCAAAACAAAGCTGTGAGCGTTTGAAAACTGTATACGACTAGAATTCCGCTCGTAGTTTCTTTCTGCACGCAGGTGTTCCTTTGCTGACGAAAAGGAGCCCAGTTTGAAGGTGAAGCTGCCGACCTTGCATGGCTTAGATGGCCAGCCAGGTGTTTCCATCCACACGAGCTGGTTAAACAGAGCAAGACCACAGCGATGGACCCGGAATGCTGGACGAGACTGGAGGCCTGCCCAGTGGCTCCAGTCGAGGAATTCGCAAGTAGTCAAAGTTGATTGCATGCACCGCAGCCAGCACCACCTGAGGAGTCTTCCCGACTTTGACTCCGTACTGTCGCCTCCCCGCATGTGACAGGTGTGCCCTTGCGCTTTGCCTTGGTGCAGCGTGGTGGAGCGGCCCACGAGGCAAGGACAAGAGAGCCATCACAGCGGTGCTGTGGCGTGCCTTTTCTGGGTTCAAGTTAACGGAGTTACTGTAATCTAAGTTACCATCATAAAGAAACCATATTATCTACTATAGATCCCTATTATGGTAACATAAATTTCATCCCTTAACAAGAACCCAGTTTTGGGCCAGGTTACGCTGCATGGGACGGAGGCCGAGCCCTTCTGTCTCTCTTCGAGCCTCAAAAAAGCGCCTGCAGTTTTCTTGTTGAGGGATTTAAGTTAAGTTACCATAATAGGGATCTATAGTAGATAATGTGGCAGGTAGCTTTCCTGGGCCGGGCCCCGAAGAGCGCCATCGTCGTCAACGAGTCGAGCCCGGAGCCGAAGAGAGCAGCGCTTCTGCAAAGGCTCTTTGAAAGCGCCGCTAAACCCCATACCCAAAAAAGCACCGTCCCTATGTGCCAAGGGGTGCCAAGGTCAGGGAAGGCAACAGGTGGCATCTTGCGGATCTTGCGGCTTTCCGGCTCCGATGTGCCCGGCCACGCGGCTCAAGTCAGGGATACAGATGCCAGACATGTCGGCCTCGGAGTGGCCGGCCCAGACGGGATGTGTGAGCCAAACAAGATCGTTTTGGAACGGGCCGCTGTCGGCTGAACTTGCATGTCACTGTCGAAGGTCATCCGGCGCCGGCCAGCCTGTGCAGCCGCCACCCTTGGAGGTGACTCTGCAGCTGAAAACGAGCATGTGCGAATGTCCGGTGGCATTAGGCCTGCGTCAGCTTATGCCTGGCAGCGTGACAGCTGGAGGAAGCCACAAGCCGTCTCTTGAGCCTCTGCAGCTAGAGTGGAAGAGATGGAAGCGTGCTTCCGGCAACTTACAAAGAAGCCCCAGGCACTGACACTGCGCTTCATATCCTGCATCCCGATGGCAGCCAACCCAATGCAAGTCTTGTGTCCTTGCTGGTTGACTCAGCTGAAGCAGGTTGCCTCCGGCGAGCCAGAGGTGAAGGATGAGGCATGGTGCCAGACGTCATGTAATGTTGAGCACGATAAAGTCGCAACATTGAGCCAGGAGCCCAACGGCCTTGGCCGGAAGCTCACGAGATTTTTCGGCAACGTGGGCTATCGCGACTGGAATGCAGCAATGTGGTTTGGAACTGCAGGAAGGCAGATGTACTTGCTTTTACCGTAACTTCATGTTCCCGAGACGTTGAGATGACCAGGCTTGTGTCACGTAAGCTTCATCCCAAGAAGATGCAAGCAAGCACTTCCGCGCTCTGGGGTGGCCATGCTGTTTACAAAGTTTACAAGAGCTCTGTTTGTTTGGGCTCCTTTGGAGGTTTCTCGGGCCCGGTGCTCCTTCTTGAGGTGTCTTCGACAACATGAGCTTTGTGGGCGAGGCGCACGTCACCTTGCACAGCGTTTTCGAACCTAAAATGGAAAAGCCAGAAGCAGGGTACTGTAGGAGAAGGGGCAGCGCGACCAGAATAAGCAGAATATAGCGGCGAAAAGAAGCGCAGCAGGAGGAGGAGAATAGTAGTCGTAGTGGCAGTGATAGTGATAGTGGTAGCTGCAGCAGTAGCGGCAGGAGTGGGAGTAGTAGTAGTAGTAGTAGTAGTAGTAGTAGTAGTAGGAGTAGTAATAATAATAGTAGTAGTAGTAGTAGTAGTAGTAGTAACTAGTAGTAACTATTAGTAGCTAGTAGTAACTAGTAGTAATTAGTAGTAGTAGTAGTAGTCGTCGTCGTCGTCGTAGTAGTAGTAGTAGTAGTAGTCGTAGTAGTAGTAGTAGTAGCAGCAGTGGTAGTAGCAGCAGCAGCAGCAGCAGTAGCAGTAGCAGCATCAG